CTTACATTTTGTTATGTTGTTCTTTCCACTATTTCTATACCTTTTACACATTCTGTCGTGAGTCAGCTATTTTGAGGTTCGTCCAACTTCACATTCACCGCTACACCAGATATAATCTTAAGTTTGGGGTTAGTCTCTTCCCACTCTTTAACACGAGTTTCTTTATTAACGGCAATCAGCTTAATTCAGAAAGTGCATGTTGCAGATTGTTTTCTAATTCTAGACATTTAGAACATTCGTGAGCTTCGTGAGCATCATACACATCCTATCTATACTCGTTATTTTCAGGTTATTTCAACGCACTGCCGGCCATCTTCACACACGGTTGTCATACGATAGACACTACCTACTGAATTGACAAGATCTAAACTTTCTCGTAAGATATATGAAGCTATAAAACCTGTTCTGCACATTTATAGCATTCACACGCACAAACATATATCAACTTCAGAATTCCATGACTCATTGTAGGGAAATGAAGGTGCTAGTTAATCTTCCCGGGTTTAGGTCCCAGCGGTCCCAGCAGCTGGTGACCCTGGTGACATATTAATGTCCTTAATGTCTTAATGTCCTATACTCAGTAGAAACATGTTTTGTCCACAAAGAAATCGATCACACGCTCCTTCGCGTGAAGTATAGATGTCAGACTGTTACAAATGCCATGTGATTATTTAAATAGGACTTTTAACAAACCATTTGCAACTGATGAAAATATATTTTCTTTTAAATTACAGCCTGTGTTAGGTGGACCAATATGAACATTCTAATACCAAAAGTGCAATTTCAATAACTTTTTAAGTAAATGTACGATAGGGTTTTAATTATCTTACAATGTTCAAGCAATTTTCATATATTTGCATGATTTGGTACGAGACAATCTTTACGATTTTCGGCCCTATTTTAAGATGAATCGGCGCTATCCCGTAGGAGTGTAGGAGTAAGTCGGCTGGTTGCTATGTTGGGCGTTACGTCATGGCAAACACCAGCGGTCGACGTGGCAACATCAGCTGCAGGGGTATGCAACTCAATGCTATTGGCGGGCAACACAGCCACTGCTGCCGCGGTGGCCGGCGGACACTCTCTTGATAAAAAAATGGCTGCCGCCAGTGCCGAGGGCTCGGTCGGTAAGAAGGCATGCTATCATACCACCCGCGCTGTCGGTAAGAAAGTACGCTATTATACCACCAGCATTTTTTTACTGCTCCCTCCCAAAAAATCACTGGTTCACACGTATAGCTAGAATTAATAATCGATGTAAATGAAATGTCCATATTTTACAGGCACTGGTGGGAAACTTTCTCCAGATAAATAATGTTGCAACCTGATATCTTGTACTGCAGAGGTTCTTACTCCACTGTGTGTTTTCTGTTTTCGAACTGAGTATAACATCACTTCGCTCAAAACCATCTGGAGGAGAATGAGTTAAATGATATCAAACTCAGTTCAAAAACAGAAAACACACAACAGAGTAAGAACCTCTGCAGTACAAGATATCAGGTTGCAACATTATTTATCGGAAGAAAGTTTCTCACCAGTGCCTGTAAAATAAGAACATTTCATTTACATCAATTCAACACCCCCTTACTGAAATGCAATGGATATTTGAACTATAACATATATAGAATACTTGTGCTTAGGAAAGCTGATGGTGGGTAAACTTGAAAGAAAATTCTGTTTCCATCAGAGATACTTGTATTCAACTTCATAACTTTGCTTACAACTTATACTTGAAAGCTACACAAAACATAGCTTTTCAGTTACATTAATGTGTTATAAATCATGTTTCAGTAGAATAATGAAACTTGAGAATCTGATACACACTCTTGTTAACAAGATTAAGATTGCATTTAATAATATATGAAAAGCAATAAAATAATTGCAGAACTCTGACAAACATCATACATACATACATAGCTTCACAGATCTGTTGCCCGTTTATTGAGCTCGTCATAATAATTATAAGTAGTTGCGATATGCAACCAAGTCCAAGTAGACACAACCTAGATACAATAGGAATATAATACAATTACGTATTTGTCACATATTCATCAACAGAATAGAAAGCTTTCAAGATAAGAAAGTCTTTCAGTTTTCGTTAAAATAAATTAACATTATCCTTTAAAATATATAATTTATGTGACAAATTATTAAAAAATTTTATGGATGTATAATACACTCCCTTTTGTATAATGGATAGTCTAGCTGTGACGTGACGTGTAGTCTATTTTGTACTCTAGTGTTAATTTTATGTACACTATTATTTGTAGGATACTTATTTTTGTTTTCAATTACAAACATGACCATGGCATATATAAACAAACAGGGAACTGTAAGTATCCCTAATTATCTGAAAACCTCTCTACAAGAACTTCTAGGCCTCATCATTAACATTGCTCTAATTGCTCTTTTCTGAGCCACAAAAACTCTTTTCATTGATGATGAAGAAGAGCCCCAGAAAATAACACAATATTTAAGTTGAGCTTGACAGTAAGCACAATAAGCCATTTTCAACACTTGCCTACTTACTATAGGCTGTAGTTTTCTAAGCACAAAGGTTGCAACACTCAACTTATTTATCACATCATCAGAGTATTTTTCCCAGCCCAAATGATTGTCCGGGCACACACCTAAAAACTTAACATTTACAGAAAATTTAAGTGTTTGATCATTATATATTATATGTAATGGATAGTCCGTGGCTTTAGGGGTCATAAATTTCATTACATGGTTTTTTTTAATGTAGTATTAATTGGTTAGCTTGGAACCATCTATTTAAATGTCTCATTTACTAAATTAATTTTGTTATTAAGGCTACTAATATCCTGTGAAGAGACAATAAAAGTGGTGTCGTCTGCATATAGAACCGTATGTGTCAACCCATTTAGAATTCTAGGCAGATCATTAATATATACATTGAACAACAAAGGTCCCAGTACAGATCCCTGCGGAACTCCATGTTTCTAGTTTTCCACTTAGAAACATATGAAATTGAGTCTTGAGTCTGTAGTATGAGTCTTTGCTTCCTGTTATACAGGTATGTTTCATGCACTCTTAAGTAGAGATCCTTTTATTCCATAGTGTTTAAATCTTTGGACAAGCAGGTCATGATTGACACAGTCAAATGCCTTAGTGAGGTCACAAAAAATCCCCACAACCATCTCCTTATTGTTCCATGCTTTATAAATATAATCAGTAACCGTAAAAATAGCTTTTTGAGTCGACACACCCTTTCTGAAACCAAACTGATTATCTACAATAACATTATTGTTTGTTAAATGCTGTATTAGTATTAGTATTAATATTAATATTAATCTTTGACTTGTCCCATATCATGTATAATGATTCATGGATGAAATAAAATTGAATTGAATTATTACTCTGTTATATATTAGTATCTCGAATATTTTGGAAAACCCTGTCAACAAGGAAATGGGCCGGTAGTTAGATATTTCTGTAATACTACCTTTCTTAAAGCATGGTATAATATTGGCATATTTTAACCGATCTGGATAAATTCAAGTGGTTAGGGATAGATTAAAAATATGCATAAGTGGTTTGGTTATTTGTTTACTACACAGTCTTATGAATTTGTTTGATATACCATCATATCCGCAGGAGCCCTTATTCTTTAGTAATGAAATTACGCCAGAAATTTCTGACTTTGTAATTAGAATATTAACTATTTCAGGTAATTTATCGGTAAGACTACTTATTGTTGCTGACCACTCATCCTCAGTTTTTGGATACTGACTAATTAATTTCTCCACTGAATCTATAAAATAGGTATTAAAAAACCCAGCTGCTTTATTAATTTCAATTTTGATTTCACCATTTTTGAAGTCTGCCGGAGCAGCTTTTCTTTTAGCTACACAACCAATTTCATTATTTATAATTTTCCAAGACATTTCAGATTTATTTGTGGATTTCATTAACATTTCATTGTAGTACATCTCTTTAGCTTTTCTAATGACTCTTCTTAATATGGAACAGTAACAGGAGTAATATTCTCTTATTTTAATATGATGAGTTACTCTACTTATTATGTAGAGGTATCTTTTACATCTACACAACACTTTTATTCCACCAGTTATCCACTGATTTTTATGCCCCATATCCATCACAAATTGCATGGGGAAGCATGATTCAAAAATGACTATAAATGTGTTTAAGAATGCATTAAAACTTGCATCTACCTCCACACTACTAAGGGTCATATCCCATGTTTCATTTTGTAGTGCCTCCATAAACATCATGACTCCAGTCTTAGTTATTAACCTCTTTTTAACAGGTGTATTCTTATTCCGCTGAGTTCCACACACATTATTTATCACCAGATATTGTGCATCATGATCTGATAGATCATTTTTTACAGAGTGCACATGATATGTATTTACTCTACTACAGTGCAAAAAAATATTATCAATGGCCGTGCAGGATTCTTTTACAATCCTAGTTGGGAAGTCCACAATATAAAACAAGTTATACGTTTGCATTAATGAACTTATTTGATGCACATTTCTCAAGTCACATAAAAAATTTATATCATGATATAAATCATGATCTGAAACATGCTCATGTTTCCAAATTCTATACTAAACACAATAATGTGGCCAAAATAATAAATTAACTGAACAAATATAATGAACCTTGAAAGTCTGATATATATACAGTGCTTGAAGTGGAATGAAAATAGAACCAGGATGGTTCTGCATGTGGAAAGAGGAAACGTGTTCAGACGAAGTGCGAGAAATGTGATATGGGACTGTGCATTCTCGGGTGCTTCAAACAGTACCACATGAAAGCAAAATTTAGTTAGACGACGCAGGGGAGTAGCCTGTACAACCATGAAACAGATAACAACAACAACAACAACAACAAAAAAGGTATTGTACATTGCATTTACTGCCAAAGAAGTAACGGGATGCCTTCAAGCCATTTAGGAAAGAACCGGGATGCCATCCCGCCGCATCCCGCCCCACCTCAAGCCCTGTATATATATATATATAAAAGTAAAGTAAGTAAAGTAAAGCTATCCCTGTAACAGGCCGTGAAGGCCCATAGGGTTGTGATACGTTCATAAGTTCAATGCTGAACATAATAATATGGCAAACATAATGCAATGACTGAAGGGATATATCCATAACAACAAATCAGATGAATATAATATGTAGACATATAATATTTACATGTATAATAAGTAAAACTTCCTACCTAGGAAGTAGTTAATAAATTTAATTACAAAATATAACCTGACATTGATTCTGCTCCTCGGTGTTTCACGCTGAATCAGGTAACCTGAAGATTGCAAGTCAATTATAAAGTAATGTCACTTCACTCTTACCCACACACATAAACAAGAGCCATCTCAGTCAGAAAAGAATTTCCCACACAGTTCTTGACTGAAATATAATTATTTTCAGATACAGGGCAGAATGAACTCTGATCATCTTCTGACAACTAGTTCCACACAGACCTCTGATAGCAAGTGCACTGATGATGTTAGTCTTCAGGGCATCTACAAACTGTCCCACAGTTGGATTATTGTTCAAACCATACTACGAACGAATAGCTTCAAATGTGTTCACAAGGTGATCATCAAACAGCTGTTGTCAGGTATTCACCACAGCACCACACTGAAAGAACATTAAAGAGGAAATTAGTGGGCTTCCTTACATGATGGACTTGTTCAGATTTGAAAATAACACACTTTACTTTAAAGGGACTGCCATTATAAAGCTTTTGTATATTTGATTAAATTATTCCTCATAGCAAAGTCTTTACCACCTTATTCTCTTATAAATCATATTACTGAGAGTGTGATCTGCTTTTCAAACATTTAACATATCCTACATAACTTGTGTACTGATAAGATTATATTGTAGCATCCTGTTGCATTCTTCCATTTTATAATAAATCTTATTTTACAGTCTTATGTGAAACTATTTATTAACTTTAAGTTTAAAATTTAAAACTTAAAAAGTTGCACATGACAGTAAAATAAGATTTATAATAAAATTGTATATTGATGTAGTTTCATAAGTAATGAATGATGATGACAATGACATTCTCGCTAGCCACCTGTAGCCAATACAGTGTTGTGGCTTGCTGCAATGATTGATATGCCTGAGTTCCACATCAGAAGTATTTATATTTACAGGGCTTATGAGAAATGAGGTTTCTTTCACTGCAAACGTTGGTGGCTACTTGGTAATGGTTGCACTGCAAACATTTTAAAGGATTAAGCAATACATAATAAAGTAATTACACCATGAATTAAAACAGACATACCTTGCTGGTTCCCTTGGAAAGCTGAAGAATTTGATGCCTTGCTTGCTGGATGACAAGCACCCAGCAGCAGCAAATGTCGTTTTCGTGTTTATACTGCAAAAAGCAATACAAAAATTATAACACCATCACGGTACTCTTAGAACTCTTTCACATTCAAGAGACAATCTCTGGGATAAACAGAAAGTTGCAGAACATATCATAAAAAAATATCATTTAGATGACAGTTCATGATAACCTGAAAAATTTTAGGCTTGAAAGAATTCTATGTTTCTAATTCCATTTGTGGTAGTAAGCATAATATTCATACACACAAATAATATGTTTGACATGCAGCTGTAATTTCGTTCGCAAATGTCTACTTTCGTTTCGCAACCACATCAAATCAAAATTCATACTTACCAATTTGCATATAATGCACCACCATAACCGCACGGAATTGTGGGTATTCAAGTTGGATTGTTTAGGCTCTCTGATTGGTCGAGCCCAGCGTGAGTTTCGTCCGCCGCTCTTAGAGGCAGTAGTTACCGTGTTGCCCTTTCCCCTATTCAAGATTCCACCCCCTGATCAGCTGACACGTATTGCGTAATTTTGCCTGTTACGTAGTATCACCTGTTGGGGTTACTGGCAGGACTGGCAGACTGGCAGTTCGTCGTGCGCCTCGAATGTGGTTGCTTCGTTAGTATCTGCGTGAGATAATCTGCTGTTGGAATACCAGAAGTTCTTGTGTGGTGAAATTCGTATAAGTGGTGAAATTGCGACAGTAAGTGTACAAAGTTTTTCTTTTATCGTTTTGATATTCCGGCCGCTTCAGTAAGTACGATAATAGTGATGGCAAGGGAAGCGCTGAGACTAATGAAAATTTCTCTGACTAAATTGGCGGAATCTCGTTCCCAACGTGGCGGTGTTAGCCTCCGTAAACATGTCTTGGTTGTTACGGTTCTGAATAAGGCGCGTTGCATTTTCTGGGAGGAAGAATACCACATGGTTCAATCCCAACAAAGTGTTGTCAGTGGTGGTGGTTACACGACATCAACCACAACAACGACCCCGCAGGATCAACAGCAGCAAGACGAATGCGAACAGAACTATGACGACAATGGACTTGTAGATTTAACACCGGAGGAGGCTGGCACTGGATCGTCGCAGTATACAACACCACACTCCGAAGGCGCGTCGTCTGGAGTTAATCATCTCCAACTTTCAGCGTCCTGTGTACGGTGTGCAGATAATATCCCGCCCTCCCTTCCATCATGTGAAGATGACAAAGAAGCTCAACCGCCACCCTCATATCACACAATTCCTGCCTCTCAGAGTGGCAAATCACCCGCTCGTCGAGACCGTGATCTACGAGACAGATCGACCGCAACAAGTACTTCTTCGCCGAGGTGCCTTAAGAGACGGAAGAACGTTGGGGAGTGCGAAACAGAGGAAGCAGACTTAACACCGGAGGAGGCTGGCATTGGATCATCACAACATTTCCACCAAAGCGTGCAAAGATATGCCGCGTGTTGTGAGGGCGATGGCACCGTGCCCACGACAATGGAAGTCGATCGTATTGCAAGTCTTGTGTCCATACTCAGTTTCGGCAATCTTGCAGGAAATGCGGCAGCAGTAGCTGCGAACATGTCGGCGGGGGAGGGAATTTGAAAGCCAACCCGTTCGGTATCCACCCCAAACCTGTGTTCGTCTAAAGCCAAGGATGCTGTTGGTGTTCTGCAGCAGAGGCCGTTTCATGCGATGATTGTGTAAAGATAGCTACATCGAAACCGAATAGTGTTGCCACGACCAGCAGGTTGTAAACATAAACACATTACTCTAACGAGCTTTGTGATCTTTGGATAGGACTGCACGATAGGACGTTTGCAGCAGGCTGTGCGATATTGAACTGAACATAGTAGTGAAAGACAGAGGTAAGCAGTTCTGTGTTTAAATTGACAATGTTTGATATGGCGGCGAGAAGGTGTACACTGGGGCCTAACCCAGAAGATAATATATTTTTCTATTGTGATAAAAATATTTGATTCAGTATTTTGAAACGATTTGTAAATTCAAATTTTTAAAAAGTGTGTTTGTCTTCAATGATTTTGTACTTGGTTTCTGCATCATGCTTAACTCAAAGCCTAGGCAAATTTTACATCACAACAGTAACAGTTTAGACACATCTGAACACCTGAGGATGGCAGTCTGTGGCGGAAATATGTGTTGAATATTTTAATGATTGTTACATTACTGACAAACTAAGTACATAGACATTTAATACAGATGTGCAACAGGATGATGAAATGTAGAATTACAAACCCCCACTTATTTAGATTAAAGCCAATACATAGCCGCCATAAGGTGCTAAGTAAGTAAGTAAGTGGGGGTTTGTGTATATAAATACCAATGTAAAATTTGCCTAGGCTTTAAATCAAGCAAAATGCTGCAGAAACGAAGTATAAAATTATAATTTAAATCTGTTTTAGTTTTATAAATGTGTATTATTGGTAAAAATACAAGGAAAAATTTAAAAATAAAACCACATTCTTTAAATTATTTGTTAATTACCCAACAATTCCTACCATTTGTTGTGTTAAGCTGTGGGTGAATAGTAAGTGTGAAGTACTCAGCTTTAAGTTTTCAGTTTGTATCATTGGGGCTGGAAATGTGCCTTCGAAATCAAGTGCCTGTCCTATAAAAGCTCTTTGAGAACGCTGTCCTTCATCTACGTATTGCTAAAAATATTGCAAAATTTTGAATTGTTTCATTTTGGTCCGTTACACTATCAATTACAAAGTTAATAGAGAGTCCGTCGATTGTAACAATTTGTAGGTCACTTTTTATTATTATTTCTGCCTTACACGTAAGGCAGAAATAATATTGCAAAAATATTGCAAAAATAATTTTTCTGACTTACCCTTTCCTATCAAAGAGGTACTTTACAGCACAATTTTACCTGGACCCAGGCATAATAATAAAACTAATTACCAATCCGAATGGCATCTCAATAGCCAAACCCACTGCAGTATATCTCATGCCATCTCAAGGGAATACATCATAAATCCCTGTGATGACATAATCAGTATAGGTATGTCAAAAAGTTGTACAAAAAAGAAACTTTACAAATTGTTTTATTCTGGAATTACTGATGTGATTTAATGAAGGAGATTTAAAAGGATCGGGCATACAGAATGTTTGGGCAGAACATGAATTCCACGTGTAAAACTATGCCCTAATGTTTGGCTGTGTTGGGAAGTCATGAATTCTTGGCTTCCATAGATGTGGGAACATTTCTTGTCAGCTTTCAAAAAAGGAACCTGTTCCCTGGAGTGTGCCGTGTGTAGAAACAGAATGACCAGAAAAATTGATATAAAATAATACGTATATTTCCTAGGTATTATAGTTAACCAACATTTCTGAGATTTCCCTTCATGCAAAGAAATTTTGAGAATTGATAATTAGGGTTACTTAATTCTTTACACTCCTCAGGAACTTCCAGCAGAAGAGCTCCCGGTAGTGCTATGCTCCAAGTGGCGTTTGAATGTGTGCAAGAAGAAAACGTGAGGGGAATCAGCAGAATGGTGTCAGTACCTCTCAACACATAGCCTGCAGGAAATGAGTGCAGACACGGCATGATTCTTCAGCTGTACTACCTTGTAAGTAAAACAGTTTGTTAGTTGATACACCTTCTTGTTACTAAATACAGAACAATAAAACTGACATTTCTTATTTGGGCCCCTAGTATGCGTATCACTATTTGCATGAAAAAATGTGCCATTTGATTTTTGTAAATGGTTTTCATAAATTACTGAAATGTAATTAAAACTGTGCAAGTCACTTTCTACAAAATCACCATTTTGTTTTTTTGTGGCCCATTTAATATTTATGGTCCTATTCAGCAGGCATCGATCTATGACGCACAAAATATGAATAAAATCTCTTCAGGTGGATATCCATACATACAGAGAGCATTCCAAAATCATCTCTTATTCAGGTGGGCTCAAACTGTGCAAATTGATCAGAATCTCAAGATTGCTTCTGTCTTGATCAAAACATTTTCTCATACATACCATGGTATAATGGACAGAAAAACTGATGTTTGCAAGACCTGCTATGCTGAAACCGTGGCCATTCTTTTGCTCTTAACATGGGATACTAAAGCCCACTCCTGCCCCACTTTTCATAGATGCATACATTCTATACCCTCTGTTGCTGTTTCTTTTTTTTTTAGTTCTCATTCCACATTTAGAGTCCAATATTTCTGATGGTGACATCTGAAAGTGTATAATTACTATGAGATGATTTGGTGTACACAATTCTAAATGGCAAAATGATTTGCTTCACCTCTCCACACATGTCCTGAGTGACCCAAGTAGACCTGTCCATTGAGTAACTCTTCCCCCAAAAGAGACTATCATTTGAGCAAATGCAATGAAATGAAGCTTATGCCTGACAGCATGTTATAAAATTACAAACATTTGGAAAGAATCCTCCTCCTGCATCTAGTCATTCGGAAGTTTAGCATATATAACCATTGGGGGAAGGAGAAAACTATCTTCATTCAAAATGCACTGCATATACTTAAGGCAGAAGCCATCACAAAATCAAAATGACTCTTCTAATACCATACCTTGAATGCATTTACATGTTCTTGCACTCTGATGGTACAAAATATATACATGCCAACAGTTTGTTTGAAAATAAGCATTTTATTATAACACACAGAGGAGAGACCCCCTTAATCTCATGTAAGTTCCATGTTCATCCTACTTATATAACTTCATATGCATGTGTGTGTGTATATATAGGGTGTTTCACGACTTTAGGGCATAACTGCAAGAGGTGATTTCCTAGGTCTTTGTGATCAAAAAAGTTCATATAAAGATGTCTCCGATTTTGGACGGTTACGGAGTTATGACCGTTTTTTCATTCCCATACACACCCTCATATGAACCACGTCTGTCAGCTGGCGGGTCGCTGTCTTTAGCCAGCTACAAACAGAGCGTTCTCGTTATCTCGACACTTGAGAGCTACGTAAGGTGGGGTGGGTTGGTATGTCCGGCGCGGTTCACAACTGAGCGGCAGCCTGTGTTGCGGCCAGTGGTGAAATTTTCGAAAATCAGCTTTAAGCACCAATCAGTTCAAATTAAATGTAATTTCACGAAGTTAACTTTACATTCATACTTTAAACGTATCATGTATTATGCTGGTTTAATATTTTGTTCTGTTTATTGTCAGTAATCATTACCTTCTATTCTGAGTTTAAAACGGTCATAACTCCGTAACCGTCCAAAATCGGACACATGTTTATATGAGCTTTTTTGATCACAAAGACCTAGGAAATCACCTC